TTTGGAGAGCACTATATGAGCTGCTAAGGGAGAATATCAATTGATGGTCCAACCCTAGGTTCAAGGCCAACACAGCAAACGACATTGGTGCAGTAGTGGCACTTTTATCTTGGAGGTAATCAACAGCTACCTAATTGGACCTAAAGCCCACTCAGTGGGAGGAAACTCATGTGTGGTACTGTAAGCCTACCGAAATATACATAGCTGGAGAGGTCAGAGATCTTAGAGAAGACCCCAAGGCTGTCACATCCCTAGACAAATGTAATGCGCAAAATATTGATCCTTCACTTTACAGACAAATATCTCAGAAGTCACCACTCATCAAAGAAGCTCATTTTATACCAGTCAGAGACTATTACCAAGTACCACAACTGGTCACACACAGACATTATCTATGAATTGCGTAGGCCTAAGTGACACATCTACAATGCAACCTCTACACCTAAGGCAAACACAGGGTAAAGAAGAGGACACTAATGAATCTCTTAGTTCTCAATAATGAAGCTCCCTCATTCAGCAGAGGGAAAGGAACACAAAAGGTCATAAATGGTCAAAGCACAGAGATCAAGAGTCTGCTGAATGATGGTCCTTGGACAGGACTCCTTTATTAAACTTCACCTACCCAAGGCTCAGGGACCAACTCAGAAGAGGGGGCAGAAAGATTGTAAGAGCCAGGGAAGAGGTACACGACCATATGGAAACAGTTCTACAAGCTCCCATATGATTCTATGGCAATGGTGTCAGGTTATACAAGTCCCATGCAAACTCAGGCAGACAATAACCCAGCATAGAACTAGGAAATGAACAACAGACCCCAATCTTATCTGAAGAGATGTTGGCAACTGATTGCTGCTAGGTGAAGAAGAATTGATCTTCCTATAGACTGATTAGCCCTCAGTGGATGGACTCACACTGGGGAATGGCTGGGGACACTGATGACATAGTGGGCCTTAACAGGGATGACAGAGTACATGGGCTGGACTGGGGGGGGGTGCTATGGGAGGGTGCCAGTGAGTACAGGGACAAAAGGATGATTAAAATTGTTTGAGATGTTCTGTATGAAATACACAAAACATTCAGTAAAAACAAATTTTAAAAACATGTAAATTGAGCTGCTTATTTTAAAATTTCAGTTACTATATTTTATTTCTAGAATTTCCATCTGGTTCTTTTTCACACTGTCTTGACCTTTCTTAGCGATCATGACTTCCTTGGCTTTATATTCTACCATTTATTTATTTATTTTTCTCTTTTTGTTTTTTTTTAATCTTCTTAAAAAATTTATTTATTCATTTTTATTTTATGTGTATGCATGTATTGCTTGCATGTAGGTAAGTGCACCTGTGTCATGCAATGCCTGTGGAGGTCAGGAGAGGCTGTCAAATCCCTTGGGACTGGAGTTATGGACAGTTGTTAGCTGCCATGTGGGTGCTGGGATTCAAACCCGGGTCTTGCAAGAACAACCAGTGTTCTTAACAGCTGAGCCATCTCTCCAGCCCTCTTTTTGTTTTTGAGATAGGGTTTAGCTCAAGTTTGCCTTGAATTTGCTAGTGGAGTATGTAGCCCGAGATGAACTCAAACTCATGATTTGCTCAGACTTCCAAGTGCTGGGATTATAGGCAAGTCCCACTACGCTCAGCTGCATCTTTCATTTTTTTTAAAAAATATTTTATCGGCTGGGCGTGGTGGGGCATGCCTTTAATCCCAGCACTCAGGAGGCAAAGGCAGGCGGATCTCTGTGAGTTCAAGGCCAGCCTGGTCTACACAGTGAGTTCCAGGACAGCTGGGGCTACAGGGAGACCCTGTCTCAAAAAGACCAAAAAAAATTTTTTTTATTATTTTTATTTTATGTGTATGAGTGTATTGCCTGCTTGTAAGTGAGTGCACCTGTGTTGTGCAATGCCATGGAGGTCAGAAGAGGGACTCAGATTCCCCTGGAACTGGAGTTAAGGGCGGTTCATAGCTGCCATGTGGGTGCTGGGAATCAAACCCCGGAGCAGTCAGTGCTCTTAACCACTGAGCCCTCTCTCCAGCCCCAGATGTCAATTCTAACACTTGTAGTCCTAAATCATGGTTTTTTTTTTGTTGTTTTTTTTTTCTTACTCTTCCTTTATGGCCCATGTCCTCTTATTTCTGATGGTCAGTAACTAACTGATTTGGGGGCTGTGACAATCTGATAAGGGCTGGAGCTCTTTCCTGCAGAGAGGATCTACAAGCACTTCAGCAGGACCTCGAGGTGCATTACTAATCTGGAACCACTTTAGACAACTCATGGTTTTGTTTTTTGGTTAATGGTTTCTTCTTTTTTTGAGAAGGGAAGGAAAAATAGGTCCTAGATTTCCTATTTCAGTAATGTTTAATTAGTTTGTTATTTTGTCTTTTTTTTTTTTTTTTGGAGCTGAGGATCGAACCCAGGGCCTTGCGCTTGCTAGACAAGTGCTCTACCACTGAGCTAAATCCCCAACCCCTATTACTTTGTTTTACTTAGTTTACTTAGCTGCTTTCCAAGAGTAGCTGAAATATTTGATCATTTTGCCCAAAGAGAAAGTTACCAATTTATTATTGTGTGTATGTGAAAATACTTTCCATAGACTACATATTCAATTATCATTTTATAGCTTAAAAAATTCCCCAAATGTAATTATAAAGAACAATGGTTCAGTGTAGCTTTTTTTTAATGGTACAAAAGACTTTTATTAAAACTGTTTTGGGATTTGAGCATGCTTCAAATTTTTTGAAAATGGATACAGCCATTGAAATATATACTTATTTCTTTCTTTTTTTTTTTTGGAGCTGAGGACCAAACCCAGGGCCTTGCGCTTACTAGACAAGCGCTCTACCACTGAGCTAAATCCCCAACCCCTCTTATTTCTTTTTTATTTATTTTCTAATTGAATTTTTAAATTGAACTTTTGCAATTTTTTTTAAATGTTTTATTTATTATTTTTATCTTATGTGTATGTGTGTATTGCCTGCATGTAGGTAAGTGCACCTGTGTCATGCAATGCTCGTGGAGGACAGAAGAGGCTGTTGGATCCCCTGAAACTGGAGTTACAGACAGTTGTTAGCTGCCATGTGGGTGCTGGGATTTGAACCTGGGTCTTCTGCAAGAATAGTCAGTGTTCTTAACCACTGAGCCATCTCTCCAGCCTGCAATTTTCTTTTAAAAAATATTTTATTTACAGCTAGGGCTACAGGGAGACCTTGTCTAAAAGACCAAAAAAATATTTTATTATTTTCATTTTATGTGTATGTGTGGACTGTCTGCATGTTGGTAAGTGCAGCCGTGTTGTACAATGCCCGTGGAGGACAGAAGAGGCTGTCGGATTCCCTGGAACTGAAGTTACAGACACTTGTTAGTTGCCATGTGGGTGCTGGGATTTGAACCCTGGTGTCCTGCAAGAGAGCCATCTCTCCAGCCCCAAATTTATGCAATTTTCTTACAACATAGTTTGATGGTACTTAGATCCCCTCCTCTCTCCACACCTCCTCCTGACCCTACCAGATTTAATGTACTCTCATACATATAATGTGGTCTATAAGAGTTTGATTTGTGTCCCCAAATGCCCCTCAGTATGCGTTCATCCACTGGGCCCACCAAGAGTGCCATCCCTGTAAGATGCTGTCTCTTCCCCTCCCAGCAGCCATCAATTGCCAAAAGTTCCTTAAGTTGGATTGGGATTTCTTACCCACTTTCCATGTCTATGCTGGGATTTTGTCTTATTTGAGCTTATATAGGACTTGTACATGCTGTCATGATTGCTGTGAGTTCATTTGAGTAAATGACCAGCTGTCTGGAAGATTCTGCTTCCTGTGGTCATCCACCCCTCTAACAATCCCTCTGCTTCCTCTTCTGCAATGCTCCCTTGAGCCTTGGGAGGCAGAGGTTTGAAATAGGTGTCTCATTCAGGGATAAGCACTCTGTGGCCTCTTGTTTTCTGCACATTGGTCAATTGTGAGTTTCTGTGTTAATCACAATCTGCTGTAAAAGGAAACTTCTCTGAAGAGGTGCATTCATCCTAAGTGTAGGATGATGTGTCACTTAGTGTTAAGCCTCTCACAGATAATTATTCTCTGCATTTGACCAGTCCTGGGAACACTGTAATAGTCTGTGGCAAAAAGAAGCTTTTTTGGTGAGGGGTAAAAGATACACTTGTCTGTAAATATGAGGATACATATTTGGAATACAGTAAATTATGTTTGTCTAGGGATGTGACAAAAATAGGTTTTTCTCTAGGCTCTATGACCTCTCTAGTCATATGTATTTGGCTATGTTACAGTACTACACAAGTTCCCTTCCATTGAGTGGACCTGAATTCCAATTAGACAGCTACTGAATACCCCCAAGATAAAAGTGCCACTACTGCACCAATAGAGATAGTTTGCTGGGCTAGTCATTGTTTTTTATTGGGATTTACGGCTGGGTAGGATCACTGATAGGTTTTCTCCCTTGGCAGTTTGTATAGCATCCTCTGATACCATGAGACCTAGTCTTCAGGCAGGCGACTTCCAGGTCAATTCCAGCTCAGTTGCTCCAAGTCCTGTGTCAGAAGTGTGGTCTTTCTGTTTTGTTTTGTTTTGTTTTCAAAGACAGGGTCTCCCTGTTAGCCCTAGCTGGTCTGAACTTGTTATGTAGACCAGGCCAGCCTGGAGCTCACAGAGTTCTGTCTGTCTCTGCTTCTGCCTCCCAAGCGCTGGGACGAAAGGTGTATGCTACCATGTTTGGTCCGATTTGGCTATGCTCAAATACAAATGTTCAAGTATTATGCCACAGAACACTTTGAAGCATACCATGCATCATTTACAACTACTTAATGGCATAAAGCAACAACTGGGAAATGAAAGCTGAAGAACATCTGGCCATCTTGGTATGTTAGCTAACTGCCAAGGAAAACGAGAAGAGGACTAATATAATAACAAAGTACTTCTCTCTGGTTTGCCAGACTCAGAAGCCTGAGTTTTGAAAAACTGTCACATGGACTTTTGAATCCCATTCTCACCTTTATACTTCCCCCAATAAGATCAGGCGGCTCTTCATCTGTTTCCAGGGCAACATTTACGGAGGCAAAGGGACGGCTGGCCATCTGTTGCATTTCCCGAAGAAGTTGCTAATGAATAATATAATATTAATGTGTTGAGTACTGAAACTTTATTATTCTATAACAGACATTAAAAATACTGCATTCTCCCTGATTGAAACAGATCAAATCCAAAACTGCTTCTGTGCCAGCTGGGAGAAAACTGGACATGGGCTAGGCAGTAAGTAACATCAGGTACTATTAAATTCTGTTACATGTGATAATGCTATTGCATTTTTTTTTTTTTTGAGACAGGATCTCCCTGTAGCCCCAGCTGTCCTGGAACTCACTATGTAGACCAGGCCGGCCTTGAACTCACAGAGATCCACCTGCTTCTGCCTCCCAGGTGTTGGGATTAAAGGTGTGCGCCACCACGCATGGCCTACGCTATTGTATTTTAATAAAAAGTCCTCATCTGTAAGAGATATAAACTAAAGTGGTGGGAGATACAATCCTATGGTGTCAGCTTATTTTTTCATATTTTTGTTACTAAAGTCAGCCTTGCTTGCTTTTTGTTGAAACCTGAACCAGGTACTCACACAGCAACAAAAATGTGCTCATATACCAACTGAGACAACTTTTTTCTGAAAGAGATGTAAGCTGAAAACATAAATCAATATGAAATAGTACAGAATAGAAGAACAAGCAGGGTCTCTGGATTCAGGGGGTACGGATATAATTACTGCTTCAACTCTCTTCAGCCACATGACCTTAGGACTGGCAGGTAAAGTATCAACGCTTCAGTTTCCTCTTCTTTGAAGTGTTTTGTTTGTTTGTTTGTTTGTTTGTTTGTAAGACAGTCTCGTGTAGCCCAAGATGGCCTGGAAGTCATGGACTGATGTTCAATTTCCAATACTCCTGCTTCCACCTCCCAAGTTCAGGTATGTCCTATCACTCATTGCTTGAAATATGTTTTCATGTTAGAAGATTGTCATTTGGATTGGACCAGACACTACAGCATATGCCTAGAACATGGAATGTGGCCATTCCTGTAAAATTGATAATATTAGAGGTCTTTTGAATCTTGAAACCTTGAGGTTATGCCATAGACGACTAACTGACCTTGCTTTAAACTGCTTCTTTCAAACTATTGTAGGAGGCAGAATCCCAAGGCTGCACAGATCACTGCCCTGCTCTAGGAGGGAATTTTTATGTTAAGAAATTTCTTAAACATTAATAATAGATTCCTACTGTTAGGTCACAGGGACTGCCCCTGTAAAGGGGATCAGTCATGCCTTAAATCCTATCTAGAGCCTTCCCTAATCTACTGAGTTCAGACCCTCCCCTATAAAGTCAGTAAATTTAAGGAATTTCCTTCTGCCAGTTGCTGTTGGATCTTCTATCCCATCTTCTCCAGCATTATTAAAAGGTCCAATCACTTGAAATCTGACTCAGCGCATCCCTCTACTGAACCTAGAAAGAATCTTCACTATTTAAAACACCTACACTTCACAAAGCTGTTGGTCTATTTATTTATTTTAAAATGTTTTATTATTTTAAACATTTTTATTTATTATTTTATGTGTCTGAGTGTATTGTCTGCGTGTGTGCAAGTGCACTTGTGTCAATGCCCTTGGAGATCAGAAGGCATTGGATCCCCTGGAACCACGTGGGTGCTGGGAATCAAACACAGGTCCTCTGCAAAAGCAGCCAGTGCTCTTAACTGCTGAGCCATCTCTCCAGCCCCCAATGTTGGTCCATTTATTCAGTAAATATATATAGCAAACCTAATCTGGGTTCTGTGCTATACTAAGTGCCAGGGTCAGAGTGAAACAGAGTCGGTGCCCTCCTGTAGCTCCCACTTTAGTATCTTTGCCAAGAACACAGGTAAAAAGCACTTCTAATGGGGTATGGTATGAGGCATGAGTGATCTTTTTTGTTTTGGTCATTTTGAGACACGGTCTTCCTGTAGCCCCAGTTGGGCCTGGAACTCATTATGTAGACCAGGCTGGCCTTGAACTCACAGAGATCTGCCTGCTTCTGCCTCTGCCTCTGGAGTGCTGAGTCTCACACCCAGCTTCGTGACTGATTTTGTAGAAATAATGAAATATGTTCTGAATGGTCAGGTTTAGAGTTATGATATTCCAAATCAAGGGTAAATGTTTAGCTTAATTAGGTGACCAGGCACTCCTCAGCATACTTTTAAAAACCTTTTTTGAGTGTTCATCTTGTTCTCTCTCTCGTGATGTTGCAAATATTTTCCAATAGATTGTTACTTTCTGTTTTTATTCATTTAGTTCTATATACTTAAGTATTATCACTTAAAATATTTATTATTTATTTTAATTTTATGTGTACGTTCGTGGGTGCTGGGAATCAAACTCAGGTTCTCTGCAAGAACAGCCAGTGATCGTAACCACTGAGCCATCTTTCCAGCCTCCTCAACAACTTTATATGAAAATAATTCTATTTTCTTTCCAATAGTAACAAAACTATTTTACTACTTTTTTTTTTTTTACTTTTATCTGTGTTTATTTTATGTTCAATTTATTCCCATGCCATAAGTTTTTGTTTCTTCAGTTTCTTCTGGGATTTCTTTTTCTTTTGTGCAACTTCCTCTTCAGGCTTAGGAACAGTTTGTTCCTTTTCAGTGAGGGTCATTTCGATATGGCAGGGGGAGCTCATGTGTGGGTTAATGTGACCATGAGCTCTGTAAGTTCTGCGGCGCATCTTGGGTGATTTATTCACCTGGATATGCTCAGTGACCAGAGTCTACATCTAAACCCTTAAGTTCAGCATTACTTTCTGCATTTCTAGGCATGTGCAGCAAAAATTCAGCACTCTTTTTGGGTCACCGACCTTGTGTCCAGCCCCACTGTTTGGCCTGGGCACACCTACCAAATCCACCGTTATAACACTGGAACGGCACACACTGCTTCTTTAAAGTGACATCTTTCAGATACTTGGTGGCTTTTCGGATATGCATACCCTTGATGGCCTGGGCAGTTTCATGTGTGTTCTTAAACTGAACACGAAGGTTGGAACCTCTTGGTTTGCATGATTTTGTAGGGTTTTCTGGGTCAAGAGAGTAACAAACCATTTTCACAGGTCACCTTGAGCGGCTTACAGGAAGAGGTTTACTGCTTTCTTTTAAGAGTGTGCAGTCTAGAACATCTGGAGCAAAATTAAGTGACAATGGAAAACTACATGCTGTTAAGGAACATGGGCTGTGAAGACAAGAGTCTTTAGTTAAAGCTCAGCTCTGCCTCTCAGGAAATATGTACTGATGGCTAAGTTACTTTACCTTTTTTTGAGCCTAGTATAGTACTTATCTCACAGGACTGGGATGAAGATTAATTTAGCTAGTTGAAGTATAACCACTTAGAACAGTGCCTGAAATTTAGAGGTGCTCAAATATTTAGATAAAGTGTCTGGATTTAATTGGGATCACCTGTAGTGTCTAATAATAATGAGTAATACTATTTATAGTTTGGTTTTAGATGCTCCCACTAAGACCCACAGGTTAAAAGCTTTGTCCCTGGCTTTATGCTTTTAGGAGGTACTGAGGACAGAATCCAGGACCTCAAGTGCATCTAGGCTAGTGCTCCATCACTGAGCTAAGCCAGTCCCTTCACTCATAGTCTTATGAAAGACTGTCTGCTAAATCAAGCAGTGGCTATGGTTGTGGCAGAATTAATGACACTTTATGTAGCATTAATCTACGTCTACTGATGGCATAAAGCGGAACCACCTACTGCAGAAGGAGTAGCATGCCTCTCACTGTGATCATAGCTACCTGTGAGCTATGACTAAACAGAGAAAAAGGAAGGAAAATAGCTTTTATGGAGATTCATTAGCCTTGATCCACTGATACTTACCTCTCTACGTCTGGATGCCCAACAACTTTGCTTGATCTTCCAAACCACAGCAGCCACCAAGAGCAAAGAGAGGAAACAACTGTGGGAAAGAAAGTATTGTGTCATAATCTCTGCCCAGAATCAGTACTACAGCCACACCTGACTCCACAGGGAACAATCCTCCAAATCCCAGTTCCTAGCTCCTTTCTCACGCTTCACCACAATGTTCTGGTTCATAGGAAGTAGAGCTTAAGAAAACACCAACCTTAACTTCCAACCTTGACTTCTAGAATCTACTGTTCTTGGATGGTATTGGGGAGTTGACTCCCCACTAAGCCTGTAAGAATGGCTCTTCACAGCTTACACAAGTAAAAAAAGCAATTCTAACTTAATGAAAACAGATAAGTAATTTATTTAATCACAGTCTAAGAAGATGAGAAAAATTAATTATTTAAGCAACAATAAACTTTTCATAAGAGGTAAACAGAAACATTTATGTATAATGATTAATGTATTTTCAATAATTATATATATATATACATATATGATGGCTCATACTGATTATGAACTTCACAGGCTCTAGAATCACCTAGTAGACAAACTTCTGGACATGTCTGTGAGTTTCTACATTGAGTAGGGATAATCCACCTTAAATATGGGAGGCACCATTCCATGGGCTAGGGTTCCAAACTGAATAAAAAGTGAGCTGAGCGCAAGCAGTTATATCTCCTTGCTTCTTGAGGATGCAGCATGACTAGCCACCTCGTGTTCCTGCTGCTATGCCTGCCTTACCATGATGGACTGAATCCCTTAGATCTGCAAGCCACAATAAGCCCTTCCTTTCTTAAGTTGCTTCTTGTCAAATATTTGGTGACACCACTGAAAAAGGTAATTAATAATAAGTGTATTTTTTATTTTAAAAGATTGAGTCTTGCTGTGTAACCCAGCTGGCTTAGAACTCAGGATTCCCTTACCTCAACCCCCTTAGCACTAGGATTATAAGCATGTGTCACCATTCCCAGCATGGGAATTTGTAAATGCGTTAATAAAATAAAACACATTTAAAATGATCAAATTCAAGCCAACAGTTTTTTTTTTAAATATTAGGAGGAAAAGCTTTCAGTGGTCTAATAATTGTAAAGGATTTCAATATTCTTTCATCTGTAAATCAGGTGTTGGATGGGAAAAGCTACCATGATACCAAAGGCAGCGACTGACTTATGGCTAAAAGGAAGAATGCAGCTGGGCCTGGTGGCACACGCCTTTAATCCCAGCACTTGGGAGGCAGAAGCAGGTGGATCTTGTGAGTTCAAGGCCAGCCTGGTTTACAGAGTGAGTTCCAGGACAGCTGGGGCTACAGGGAGACCCTGTCTCAAAAAGACCACACACACACACAGCCACACAGACACATACACACAATTTAAAAAATTTTTATTTTTCGATGTATATGTTTATTGAATTTTTGTGCACTTCATACAGTACATCTCAATCATATTAGGCCCCCTCCCCATCTGCAACCCCCACAGCCCATCCACAAGATTGCACGCATTCTGTCATATATGTTAAGGGCTACTGAGTAAACTTTGTGTACCCAGATGTCCCTTGATGTGAGTTCATCCACTTACTAGAACCTGTTGTCGGAACACCTTTTGGATGTGCATGCACCCCTGTGCTTCTTGGAGGCAGTTGGAATTTCTATTATAATGTGAGATAAAAGCTGGTGTGGTGGCACACATCTTACAGTACTTGGGAGGCTGGGGGAGAACTGCTCCCTCTTTGAGGCCTGCCTGGACCTATATAAAAAGTACCAGGTCAGACAGAGCTATACAGAAAGCCCCTGTTTCAAAAACCAAACCAAACCAAACATGTCAGACAGAAGTGATACATGGTTTGCAAAATTTAAAAACAAACATGAAAAAATCCAACTACTGAAGAATGGGATTTGTTGCTACTTTATCTCATTCACTCACTCACTCACTCACTCACTCACTCACTCACTCACTCACTCACTCACTTTCACCTATAGTTCAGGCTGGCTTTCAGATAGCTACGCAACAGAGAAGTCCTTGGACTCCTGAACCTCCCGGACTCCACCTTCTGAGAGCTGAGATTACAGCCATGTACCACCACACCTGGCTACTTCATCAGATTTAAAGGAGCTTCTAGTCCTAGTTTTCTAAGAGTTTTTTTTTTTTTTTAAATCATCTTTCTGAGACTGGGTCTCCCTGCAGCCCCAGCTGTATGTAGAACAGATTCACTATGTAGACCAGGCTGGCCTTGATTTCATAGAGATCCGCCTGCCTCTGCCTCATGAGTGCTGGGATTAAAGGTGTATGCTACCACATCCAGCTTTCTAATAGGTTTTTAAAAAAGATTTATTTTATCTATTTACATGTATACATGTACATGTATCTAAGCATATGCACCTATGTGTTGGGGTACAGGTGTCTGGGTGCATGTAGACCAGAAGGTTTTGGATCCATTGGAACTGGAGTTACATCGTTTGTGGGACACTCAGCTTGTTACATGGGTGCTGGAATGCAAACTCTGAACCTTGATTGTGTAGCAAGTGCTCTTAACCATGAGCCATCTCTAGAGGTTTTAAAAATTAAGCTTTATTAAATATACACCCATAAATTAAGATGACCATAATATTTTTTCCCTTTGTAAAGTAAAAGATTCTACTAAGTGATGGTGTGATACTACACTCTATTTTTTTAGTACTAGGGACTGAATCTAGGGCCTTATACACACTAGACAAATGCTCTACCAGTAAGCTACTTTTTCAGTCCTTTTTTGACTATTTACTGAGGGTCTTTCTAAGCTGCCTAGGCTGACCCTGACTCATTCTGTGGCTCAGACAAGCCCAGAACTTGCAATCTTCCTGCATCAGTCTCCTGAGTAGTTGGGATGACTGTCTGTGCAACCAGAGCTGGCTAATTTTGTAATTTTTTTGAGGTGTGTGTACATTACTATGTGTGCAGGTGCAAGTGCACATATGTGTTCACATGTGTGGAGGTCAGAGGACAACCTTGGGTGTCCTCAGGTGCTTCCCACCCTTTAAATTTAATTAATTAATTAATTTATTGTGTGCATGGATGTGTGTGGGCACATGTACCATAGCACACAAGTAGACTTCAGCCCTCTCCTTCTATCATGTGGGTTCCAGGCATCCAACTTAGGTTATAAAGCTTGGTGGTAAGTGCCTTTAGCGCCTGTACCTGTTGAGCTATTTCACCAGTTCTTTTTTTTTTTTTTTTTTTTTGAGACAAGGTCTCTTACTGGCCTAACTTCCAAAGTATGCTAGACTGGCTGTCAGGGATCCTTCCGTCTCTACCTCCCCAGCTCTGAGATTATAAACCTGAGCTATATAATGCCTGCCTTAAAAAAAAAACAGCAATAAACAACAACAACAACAAAGAAAAAACATGGGTTCTGGGTATTAAACTCAGGTCCTCATGTTTCCAAGTCAAGCATATAACTTACTCAGCAATCTCCCCAACCCTAATCTTGCAGTTCTCATATAAACCCACTGGGTTATGTTACTGCAGTCTTGGTTAGGCTGGAAGCTAGGAAGCTCCAGTGATCCTACTGTCTTCTCCTCCTTCAGAGCAGAGGTTACAGGTGTGTGCACATGACACCCCAGTTTGTTATGTGAATGTTGGGATCTGAATTCTGGTCCTCATGATTGTGCAGAACATGCTCTTTTTGTCAATTTTTAAAAATATTTAAAAACATTTTATTTATTTATGGGGCTAGAGACATAGCTCAGAGGTTAAGAACACTGTTCTTGCAGAAGACCTGGGTTCGAATCCCAGCACCCACATGGCAGCTAACAATTGTCTGTAACTCCAGTTCCAGGGAATCCAACAGCCTCTTCTGTCCTCTGCGGGCATTGCACAACATTTACTTACATGCAGGCAGTACACTCATACACATAAACTTAAAAAATTATTTTATTTTATGTGTATGAGTGTACTGCCTGCATGTGTGTAAGTGCACCTGTGTCGTACAATGCCCATGTAGGTCAGAAGAAGGCACTGGATTCTCTTGGAACTGGAGTTACAGAAAGTTGTTAGCTGCAATGTAGAGGCTGGAAATCGAACCTAGGTCCTCTGTAAGAGCAGTCAGTGCTCTTAACTGCTGAGCCATCTCTCCAGTCCCCCAGAATATGCTCTTAATCACTGAGCCATCTCCATTACTGACTTAATCACTTAGCCTTTCTATTACTGACAATTTTTTCCTCCTGTATTTATGACTGAGACTGACATGCAAATTTCTCTTTTTGTTGTATGACACAAGCTCTTACTCTGTAAACCCAGGCTGACCTCGAATGTGTCCCGGGTGCTGGGATTACACACATATGCCACCATACCTTACTCTGTATATTTCTTTCTCATAATAGTTTTGTCACATTGTGCTAGGTTCATAACACAGCCTGAGAAGTGTTTTTTCCATGTTCTCTAAAATTAGTTAATATTGATATTTTTTATTTTTATTTTATTTTTTATGTATATGAGTATTTTGCTTGCATGTAAGCAAGTGTACCATGTACATGCAGTGCAGATCCCCTGGAACTGGAGTTATGTTACAGATAGTCATAAGCCAACATGTGTGTGCTGGGAACTGAACCTGGGTCCTCTGAAAGAGCAACAAGTGTTCTTGACACTGAGCCATCTCTCCAGCCCTTTTTTTGAGACAGGATCTATGTAGTCCTGGCTGGCCTGGATTCTCTATGTAGACCAGGCTGGCCTTGAACTCATAGAGATTTGCCTGCCCTTGCCTCTTGAATACTGTGTTAAAGGTATGTGCCACTATGTCTGGCCCCGATATTATTTCTCTTTAAAAGAAGGCTGTTTTCAATGAAGCTACATGGGTCTAAAGTTTTCATTATGAAAGAACTTTATTGAGCTTCCTATTTCTTATGTTCCCTCCCTCCCTCCCTCCCTCCCTCCCTTCTTCCCTCCCTTCCTTCCAGTTTTTTGAAACAGGGTTTCCCTCTAGTCCCAGCTGGCTATGTAGACCAGGCTGGCCTTGATCTCACAGACATCGGTCTGCCTCTGCCCGGCCCCCCCAAGTGCTGGGATAAAAGGTGTGTGC